AAATCATGGCTGGGGGGTCCCAGGAGGGACCCATCTCCCTCCCCTTGGACAAGCTGGTCCTGAGGGGTTCCCCAATGACCCCTTCATGGGGATCCCCCCTTTTCCCACAGGGTACAGTGGCTGGATGAGCCTCAGCGAGGTGGACCCTGATGAGGAGGTGCAGGGGGAGATCCACCTGCGGGTGGAGGTCCTGGGCAGCCAGGGCAGCCGGCGGCTGCGCTGCTCCGTGCTGGAGGCCAGGTGAGAGGGGGCACGAGGGTGACAGGGGCTGCGTGTGCAGCTGGGACATGGGTGCTGAGTCCGAGCTGCTCCATGACTCAGTTTCCCTGGTGTATCCGGTCCTTTGGGTGCAGAGCACCCTCCTCATCACCCAGCAGGTGCTGGGGCAGGGTCTACCTCATCTGCAGGTCTTTGAGACATAGATCTTGAGATACCCTGAGAGGGGAGGGGGTGCCACCGGTGTCTGTAGCTATTTTGGAAGGTTGCTGGTAAATTCCCCTTCTTCTTGGCAGGGATTTGGCCAGGAAGGACCGGAATGGTGCCTCTGACCCCTTTGTCCGCCTGCGCTACAACGGGAAGACACAGGAGAGCACCGTGAGTGCGGCTTCAGCCATCCCCAGCCTGCCAGGGGTGCAGGGGGAATCAACCCATGGGGAAGCCCGGAGCCACCGGGCCCCTGAGGGACAGATCCACCCAGCAAGAGAGGACAAAGCTGTTGCCTTTGCAGGTGGTCAAGAAATCCTGTTACCCTCGCTGGAACGAGACCTTCGAGTTCGAGCTGGCCGAGCCTGCCGGGGAGAAGCTCTGCGTGGAGGTGTGGGACTGGGACCTGGTGGGCAGGAACGACTTCCTGGGCAAGGTGAGCCCCAAACCCTTTCAGTCCTGCCGGGGTCCTGCCCAGCTGCACACCCAGCCCTCTCCTGCCTTCCCCTCCCAGGTGGTGTTCAGCATCCAGGGGCTGGAGGCGGCTGGGCAGGAGGAGGGCTGGTTCAGGCTGTGGCCAGACAAGTCCAAGCCGACAGAGGACGAGTGAGTTTTGGCACAGGGTGTTGGGGTGTGCTGGGGATGGTCCCAGTTCCCTCAGGAGCATTAGGGAGGGGAGTTTTCCTGGGAAACATCATCACTTTGGAGGGATAGCCTGGGGTGTCAGGCCACCTCTTGTCAAAGGATCCATCCATCCATCCATCCATCTATCCATCCATCCATCCTTCTGTTCACCTATACTTCCATCCGTCCATCCACCCCTCATCCATCATCCATCCATCCATCATCCATCCATCCATCCATCCATCCATCCATCCATCATCCATCCATCCACCCACGCACCCTCCTCGTGCTCCTGCAGGCGCCGTGGCAGCCTGGGCTCGCTGCAGCTGCAGGTGAAGCTTCGGGATGAGACCGTGCTTCCCTCCCACTGCTACCAGCCCCTGGTGCAGCTCCTGTGCCAGGAGGTGAAGTCGGGGCGCCAGGTGAGGGGTCCATGCCCAGCCCTGCTGGAGCACCCACATCTCCCAGCTCTGTGCCGTGGTGCCTGCCTGCCTTGGGCTGTCACATTGTGGTGCCTCTTCCCTCCAGGATGGCCAAGTGCACCTGGTCACCCTCCTGGACGAAACCACCACGGCCGAGTGCCGGCAGGAGGTCGCCATCAACTTGGTCAAACTCTTCCTGGGCCAGGGGCTGGTCAAGGAGTTCCTGGACCTGCTCTTTGAGCTGGAGCTGGCCAAGCCCTGTAAGGCTGGAATGGGGAGTGGACCTGGAGGCTTCCTAATCATCTCCTGGGGCTGCAAAACCTCCAGGGGATTTTGGGGGGACTTTTTGGGAGTGATGGTTGAGGCTCAGCCATCACACTGTAGAATCTGTTGGGCTCATCCCAGCAGTTCATGGGCTGAGGTTGGTGGAGGAGCAGTGGTCTGAGGTTAGGAGATCCCCGTGACACCCATGGAAATGGCCAGGGGGCAGGGCACAGCCTCTGGGAATGACCCCCATGACTGCAGCTGCCCAGGGATGACCTGTGGCCGTCCCCAGGTCATGGACCCTCTCCTGCTTTGCAGGTGAGCCCAACACTCTGTTCCGGAGCAACTCTCTGGCCTCGAAGTCGATGGAGTCCTTCCTCAAGGTGCCACACCACCCAAAACCTGCTCTTCCCAGGTCATCCTGGCCCTGGGCTGCTCCCAGGGGAAGAACTGGGAGGCTGCTGTGCTTGTGCCTTCCCCTGGGGGTGGGAGGCTGGAGAAAATCCACTGGGTGACCCTGAGGGTGTCAGGTGCCAAATCTGCGGCCCATCCCTGTCCCCTGTGGTTCCTCGGCAGGTGACAGGGATGCCATACCTGCACTTTGTCCTGGGCCCCACCATCGCCCGCGTGTTCGAGGAGAAGAAATACGTGGAGCTGGACCCCGGCAAGGTGGAGATCAAAGACGTCGGGTAAGGGGCTCGTGGGGTGGCAGGGCAGGGGTGGCCCCAGCGCTGGGGGTGACAGTGATGGTGCCCGCAGGTGCTCGGGGCTGCACCGGGTGCAGACGGAGGGCGAGGTGATCGAGCAGGGCCGGCAGCACCTCCAGTCCTACCTGGGCGAGCTCCTGGACGCCATCGTCAGGTCGGCCCCGGCGTGTCCCCCCCTGATCCGCGCCGCGTTCCGCCAGCTCTTCCAGCGCGTCGGAGAGCGCTTCCCGCAGCACCAGGTCGGGATGGTGCGGGGACAAACAGGGACATCCCCAGGGGACAACGCTCTCTAGGAGTGGTCCCCAGCTGTGGTCATTCCCTCTTGGGCAAGCAGCAGCCCCGGCCACCGGTGCATCGCTGTTTGTGGGGCTGTCCCACGCTGGGAGAGACCCTCACGTGTGTTCCCCACCCCCTCGGTGGTCACAGCACGCCAAATTTGTGGCTGTCACCAGCTTCCTGTGCCTGCGCTTCTTCTCGCCGGCCGTGATGACCCCCAAGCTGTTCCAGCTGCGGGCCACACACGCGGACGCGCGGACCAGCCGCACGCTGCTGCTGCTGGCCAAGGTGCGACAGGGGACCCCGGGCCGGGCTTTGGGGTGCCCGGCCGGTGCTTGCTGGGGCCAGCCGGGTCTCCCGGGGGTGACGCTGCCACTGCCGCGGTCCCCAGGCCATCCAGCTGATCGGGAACATGGAGCCGGCGGCCGGGCGCGCCAAGGAGACGTGGCTGTCGCCGCTGCTGCCCGCCCTGCAGCAGGGCACCGCCCGCATGAGGGACTTCATCACCCGCCTGGTGGGCACGGAGGAGGAGCAGGGCGAGCAGGAGGGTGAGGGGCGGCCGCTGGGGCCCTCCCCGGCCGTGGTGAAGGAGGGGCTGCTCCTTGTGCACAAAACACGGGGCAAGGGGCCGCTGCTCGCTGCTGCCGCCGGCAAGAAACTCCATTTCTGCCTCACCGGGGAGTCGCTGAGCTTCGGCAAGAGCCCCGGTGCGGAGGTACGGGCGTGCTGGGGGGGCGGGGGGCGGCAGCGGGGTGGCGCTGACCCCTGTGTGTGTGTGACCTCCATCAGCGCATCGGTGCCATCGCCCTGGGCGACATCCTGGCGGCCGAGAAGGTGGAGGAGAAGAGCTTCGGCAGCTCCCACGTCATGCAGGTGGTTTACCTGGCCTCGGGCGGGCAGCAGGAGACGGCGTACCTGCAGTGCAAGGTGCGGCGGGGACAGCCCGCGCGGTGGCACAGCCCGGGCGGTGGCACAGGGTCCCTCTGACTGTCCCCAACCCCGCAGTGTGTCAACGAGCTGAACCAGTGGCTGTCAGCCCTGCGCAAGGTGTGCGGCAACAACCCCCGAGTGCTCCGCTCCTACCACCCCGGCGTCTTCCGCGGGGACAAGTGGAGCTGCTGCCACCAGCGCGACAGGACAGGTACAGGCAGGTGGCCCCGGGGGGTCGCTGGGGTGTCCCCAGGTACGGTGACCCTGCTGTCCCGCAGGGTTGGGATGCGACCGGACGCGGCACGGCGTCACCCTGCAGGACTGGAGCGACCCGCTGGAGCCCACGGTGGAGGCTCAGCGCCTCTTCCAGCACCTGCAGGGCCTCCGGGGGACCCTGAGGTGAGCCCCTGCCCCGGGACCCCCGCCCCGCCCCGCAGCCCCCTCCCCTCCTGCCGAGGCCCGGCCCTGTCCTGCCGCTCTCCGCAGGGACAAGTACTGGGAGCTGCTGGAGCCGGAGCGCGCCCAGAGCGGGCCCCGCGGTGAAGGTGGGTTCGGTGCGGGGTTCCGGGGGTGTCCCCAGGGGTCACAGGGGCTGTGGTGGTGACCCCGGGGGAGCTGTGGGGTGTCACCGTGGCTGCCTGTCCCGCAGACGCTGCCCTGCCCGAGGGGCTGAGCCGGCTGCTGGCGGCGCTGGCGGAGCTGGAGCGCTGCCACCGGCGGGCGCAGCCCCCTCAGGCCGCGGCCCCGGCCCTGCTGCGGCTGCAGACGTGAGGGACCCGCTCCTCCCGCCGCGGCAGCGCGGCTGGCAATAAAGGCACTTTGTACCCACCCTGCGGCCTGTCCGTGTGTCTGCTGGGCATGGGGACGGGCTGGGGACTGCCCAGAGCCCTGCTGCTGGCACTGCTGACACTCACACTGGGGACATCTCCTGCGGGCCTGCTGGGGCCATTTCTGCTGGCATCGCTGGTGGCCTGGTGCAAGCACTGGTGGGGTTCTCTTGGTGGTGCTACTGATGGTGGCACTGCTGCCACTGCTTGATGGCCCTGCTGTGCCATTTCTGATGGCCCTGCTGCTGCTGCTGGTGCCAGCACTGGTGGCTCTGCTCGTGGCCAGTTGTTGGCAGTGGTGGCAGCCCTGGACTCTGCCCATGGCCCGGCTGGTGCCGGCTGGGCACCGCGGTGGTGTCTCCAGCGGGGACTGATGGTGTCAGTGGTGTGTGTTGTCCTCCCGCCCCGGCGATGGCCGCAGCGGTGGCTCTGAGGCGGGAGCTGTGCCGCCTGTGTCTCGTCTGTGCCGCCGTCCCCAGCCCCGCTGTCCCCGCTCTCGCTGGCGCCATGGCCTGCAGCGGCTCCTCCCGCCCGCTTGGGGACGCTGTGAGGCCACGAGGAGCATCGAGAGGGCGGAAGTGACTTAGCGGAAGCGAAGCGGCGGCCGCCATAGCAACGGCGGGATGAACGCGCCTCCGGCCTTCGAGTCCTTCCTGCTCTTCGAGGGCGAGAAAAAGTGAGGGGATACCCGGGGGGCGGCTAATTAAACACGGGGGGCGACTCATTAAGCCCTAATCAGAGCGCGGGGAGCTGGGAGGCGGGAGCCCGGGCCTTTCCCCGCAGTGCCCTGGATCGCTAACACCCCTGTATCCCTGAAACCCCAGGATCACCATCAACAAGGACACCAAGGTGCCCAACGCCTGCCTGTTCACCATCAACAAGGAGGACCACACGCTCGGGAACATCATCAAGTCGTAAGTCCAGGCGGGGAGGAAATCCCGGGGCCGGGTTGTCATGTCACTGCCTGGGCTTTCATTGCCGTTCCAGGCAGCTGCTCAAAGACCCGCAGGTGCTGTTCGCAGGGTACAAGGTCCCACACCCTCTGGAACATAAAATCATCATCCGTGTCCAGACCACCCCCGATTACAGCCCACAGGAAGCTTTCACCAATGCCATCACAGACCTGATCAGCGAGCTCTCCCTCCTGGAGGAGAGGTTCAGGGTAAGGGCATTGTTCTCCTTAAAACTCTTCGGCCTTGTTCTAGTGTTGGTGTGTGCCTCAAAGCTGCTGGGTTTTGGTTTATGAATTCAGTCAAGCCACCCTCCTTGTGTTGTTCAGCTGCTGTCAAAGCCTGGCTGCTCTTAAGTGCATTTTTATTTTCTCTGGGTCTGTATTTTCCCTTCTGCTCAGTTTATTTATGGATTTACCCCCTGAATTCTGAGGTTTCATCTAACTCAGACAAAACCAGGGAGGCTGTGACTGAGAAGTGACCTCTGATGTGCTGGGGAAAGGCACCAGGGCACCAATTTGTAAATAAGTTTTGATTTCAATTCCAGTATTCTTTTTCTGGTTGCTGTAGAGATTTCCACTGTGGGTTGTTGTGATTCTCAGAAGAGTCAGGAATGATTAAACACCAACCTCCAGCTCAGTAACAACCCCTGTCTTAGCACGTGTGTTTTTGCTTTTGCTTTCCAGGTTGCTATTAAGGACAAACAAGAAGGAATTGAGTAAAATGGAGCAGACTGTTACTTCTGAGGCAGAATGCTGTGTTTGTTACTGGATGAAATATTTAAACCTCCATTCATGGAAAATATTTTCCCCCTTGTCCCACTTCTGTTTAATTTTTGACAGCAATATTTTGAATTTTGGTTTGGTTTTTTTTTTCATAGCAGACAGGCACTTGGCCAAGAGGATAAATATCACATTGGATTTGGTGGATAAGTCATTAAAGTGATTTTTAGTTTTCTAATCGGAGCCTTAATGCAAATATTTGTCCTGGGCTGTTGGGGAGGGTGTTGTGGGTAGGATTCCCACAGGAGAAGCTGCTCAGTGACAGCTGTAGATGAACTCTCTGCTTCTCCTGCCAAAAAGTCCAGGCACTGCCAGCTGAACTGGTACTTTGTTTTATTAAGTGTCGTTTCTATAAAACAAATGCACAAATTGTGAAAACTTACAGTAAAAGAAACCGGATGTTTACAATGAACTGATGAGTTTAACAAACTCTTACCTTGTTTGTTTTATTTTTTCTCCATCTGGCACATAAAGCTGCTCTAGAAAACGTTCATGGGCACATGGGGAACAGTCACTAATACTGCACGAGGTGAAAGCACGGGGGTGGAGCTGTGGCACAGGGGACTAGGATTTCTTCCAGATGGCTGTTATGTTGACACTGGTCAGCACAACAAGGTAGGTGAAGGCAGGGTCTGCCACCACGTTGTTCACCAGGATTTCGGGGGGCTGCTCCCCGTTCACCCGCAGCTCCGGCCACTTGAGGATCTGTGGGAGAGCAGAGGGGGTGGGGACGTGGCTCAGGGGGACATGGGGCACTGGGCATCCTCAGGCAGAGGCTCTTCCTTCTCCTGAGGGCTGGTGGAGCTGTGGGATATTCCTAAAGGAGCAGGGTTTAGGGCACAAGTGAAAACAGCTGCAGCCCCAGAGGAACTGACTGGTGGCTTGGCAATGCACTTCCAAAAAACCTGAGCCATCACAGAATCACAGAAAACATCTCCCAGAGCATCGAGTCCCACCTGGGACTGAGCAGCACCTTGTCACCCAGAGCACAGCTCAGAGTGCCACCTCAGGGATGGGGACTCCCTTCCCATACCTGAATAACCCTTTCAGGGAAGAAATAATGGAACACTGGCTCACTTCATACCTCTGCAATGTAGCTCCAGACCAGTGGGTGAGAGCTTTTGCAGTGTCTGTGATTGTCCTTTCAGAGGGACAGGCAGGGGATCAGTGACTGCCCAAAAGAGAACTGTCTCCAGAGGGGACTACTGGGCAGAAAAAGGGTGAGTGAGCATAGGGAAGCAGTGAGCCCTTTCCTGCCAGGGAATGCTTACTCTGGCTTCCCTCTCCTCCCTGGGGGATGTTATGCCTGCACAGCTGTGCCTTTCTGCTCCTCAGTTTAACCAGAGCTTTTTTAGGGCTGTTTTAGGAAGAGCTGCAGGGGGTGACAGATTTGCTTTGCAGCTCCTCATTCCTGTCCCCAGTGAATGGCCTTGGCCACGCTCTGCAGATTGCTTTAATTGTTTGTGAGGGTCAGCTGTGGAAATACAAGGCATGTTCTGGGACAGGCCTGCTCAGGAGACTGGGATCAGCTGCCCTGGGGTGGAAGGGAGGCCCAGAGAGCAGCTCAGCCCTACCTGTGTGGGAGAGATCCTCCGCTCCGAGCGCTTTCCCTTCGGAGAGCCCCAGGCTGTGGTGTAGTTGGAGAGGTTGTACATCCACACACTGCCCTTCTCATCCCCACAGAACACGTAGTCTTTTGCTGTGGGAGCAGAAGAAAAAGCTGGGAAATGAGTGTGGAGCAGGGAATCTGCTCTGCTGTAAAGGAGAGCTGCAGGATCCCAATGGAGGGTGCCATATTTCAGAAAAATTCCCTTACTGGCACAAAAACATGAATCTACCTTGCTCTGAAATAATTCATTTGAAGATAAACCAGCTCTCTTTAGTGTAGAAAAGCTAGTGCTAAATGCTTTGGGATTTCTCTTGACTTTTTTTAGACTGGTTTTGGGAAGTGCTGACTGGATCAGGTTGGTTTGTTCCTTGTCAGTCTCCAAACCCAGCTGCCCAGTGTGTGACATCCCTGCCCACAGATGCACTCAGCATCCCTGTGGCTCCACAGGGCTCAGCCCTGAGATCTGTGCTTTGAAAACCTGTGCAAGAAAGACCCCCCAGCCTCAACTGTCCCCCCTTATCAGCAGAAGGTGAGCTGTAATTATGTATTGCTGGTGTTGTCTCCACCCAGCTGGTGTTGGAGCTGCACTGCAGAGCTGCAGCACTCCAGCTCCAGGCTGCTCCCATGGACCAAAGGAGAGCCATGGACAACTGGGCAAAGCATTAGCCAGGAAATGAGTGCTCCTACCTGGGCAGGTGCTGAGTGTCAGGTAGGACATGTCTGTTGTGGACCACTCCAGCTCAGCCAGAATAACTGCAGACATTGTACGCTGGCATCCTTTGCCCTTGGCATCAAAAGACTTGCTCCAGCTCCACAAGTATATGCATCCTGGTTTGGAGCTCTTGGAAACTAGGGAAGAAAGGAAGGAAGAGGCTGTGGCAGCTGCTGGGAAGCAAAGTGCAGTGAGACAGAGGTGGTCCATCCAGAATATGGATTTCAAGGCATGGGATCTGATCCAGCAGCAACTGTTTGCACCTGCTTTACCTTATTTCAGGATAACTGGAGGTTGTAGAGAGATTTTCAGTACTATGCTTATGTTCCTGAGCTGCAGAACAAGCATAAGCTCTTCAGAAAAAGCCAGCCCATGATGTGAAACCCACAGTTCCCCTAAAAAAAATACTGTTGCCACCAGCCCTTGAGCAGAAAGACTCTCCCCTCTTTCCACACTGGCACTGCTTGGCCATGTGTGCTCTCAGGGATGCGTCCAGCTGATTTCTGGTCCTGTCCAAGCATGGGTGTGCACTCTAGGCCACATTTTTGGGAAAGACAAGTGACTCTGGGAGACAACTCCACCCTGTGCAGCCCCCCAAAAGCTAAAGAGGCTGTCACACGCCTTTCAACCCCTCTGCTTGTCATGCTGGCTTCACCCTGCACATGCTAAAGTGCCCCACTGTTTTTGGGATTGTGCTGTTATGTTTATACTCACCAACAACATCATCATTGAGAAAAGCCAAACCATCAACCCTGTGAGATGTTGTCATGCTTTCCTCACCAGGAAACTGGAATATGGCTTCAAAAGGCCTAGAGCAGGGGGGAAGGGTGAAATCAGCCAAGTCCTGGACAGCCAGCAGTGAAAGGGCACCTGGCTGCAGAGCCCAGAAGGAAATCTGTTTGTTAGTGAATTTCTTGCCAAGCTCAGTTGAATTCCCCCTTGAATTTACACTTTTGGTCACTGGGGTTTACTAGTACAGCAGAAGCCTGTTTGCTCAAGAGATTGCTGCACTCCATCAGCATTAGGATATTTGTCAGCAGGGCATGACTTTACTTGCTTCTTCCTTGTAATTTTGTCCTGAGCTCTCACAGGGTCCCAGTTTCCTGGAGCAGGGGAGGCCTCACTGTGAGACTGGAAATCGTTCCAAAAGTTTACACTCCGTTGCACTACCTGGAGATGACACACCCTTAAGTTTTGGGGTATTGGATTACACTCCTGCCAGCCTTCCTGCAAAGCAGCCTTCAACACCTGCAGCTTTAATACAATCTCTGAACAGTCCTTGAGCATCATGCTCCTGTTTTTTCTGGTCACTCTGGGAAGGGGAGGATATTTTAAGTTTGGTAGGACATGCTGCTTTTGCTCAGACCTCCTCAGTTAAAAATCAAGGACTGCTAGGACTATTACTTCTTGTTCTGGAAAGCAAATGCAGCTTGTGTTTCTCACCTGCTTTTTTGTCCCTTATCCAGTTTTATGTTCCAGGCAAAACAGCCATTTTCACAGCCTGCCAGCAGGTACTGCTCTGGGCAAGTGGGGACCAGGGCAATCCGTAGGGGGATAGAGGCCGTTTCCAGCACCAGCAGCTGGCTAAAAAAAAGCAGAGAACAAGCAGTTAAGTGGTGCTGTGATGTGATAGTTACAGGCTCTTGGACTGGCCACATCTGGTTTTTGAACCTTTACCTTGCTTTGAAATTGTAGTCGCAGTCTGGAATCCCAATATCCCAGAGTGCAATTCGCTTGTCATAGGATGCAGCTGTGGGACACAGAAGAGAAGCAGGTAGTGACACCGCTGCTCATCTGGCTCTTCTCGTGCTAGCTGGCACTTCTGCCTGAGTCACAGTCACCCTCTAAGGCTCCAGAGAGCTCATTAAAGAACAGCAGCAGTCCCTGAGGCTCCTGGCCCAGCACTTCCCAGACATTGTCAGACATGCACAGTCAGTACTCAGTGTTCTTATCCTGTGCTCTAAGAGGGGCAGATAAAACAGTTTGTTTCCTGGTGTCCATTACTGACTTGTGGCTTCACAAGGTCTTTAGTTAGTGGCCCTCTGAGCTTGTTTCTGGTCAGGGCTTTTAGTGGAATCTAAAACATGAGCTCCAACCTCTACTCTCAGGCAGACATCACGTTATTGCACATATCCATGGCTTACTGTGTTCACATCCACAGCAGCTTCCATTGGAAAAATTAGGCACTGACAAAGGGTGAGAAACATGTCACCAAGCTGATACACTGGAAGCAGAAAGAGTGCTAACAGATTACTCTGAGTAACCTGGACCCTCATCAGATGGCAGCTCTCAAACTCAGAGTTTGTTGGTGTCCCCTCTCCAAAAATGATGCAAAGAATCTCCCTTAATTACTCTAAATTTTTCTATGAAATATAATGAGTCTTGCTGTCCACACCATTATATGGCTGTGCTACCAGCCTCCTTATCCCTTCCACCACCCTCCTTATCCTTTCCTCTGCTTCTGCCTTTGGCACTCCTGAGATTCCTCTTGAAAGGTATCCCCTATTCTAAAAAACATTCCACTTTTAATGGTTCATGTAGCACTTTAACCACTCCAGGATGTAGGCAAGAGAAACAATGTGCTGTGGGGTGCAGGTGTGGCCTGAATGGCTCTGTACTAGCTCACTGTACAGCCTGACAATACAGTTGCAATTTGTAACATGATGGTTCATTACCAGTCCATGAGGCACAGCCTCTGTGAGCCCTACTGTGTGTGGCAAAGCTCTCCTTGACATCAGGACCTGAATAGAAATCTCTGTCGAGGCATAGAACTCACATTAAAAAAAATCAAAGTCAATTAAGCACATTGTTGGATAAAATGAGACCAAACAGCCCATAATAGGCTGCTGTGCTGGAGGAGAGCCCTGCCACTGCCTGGCTCCCAGCTGCCTGCTCTGCCATTCTTCTTACTCATCCCTGTGGAACAGATCCACTACTGGGCTTGTTTGTGGCTAATGTGTGTGTGACAGCCACCCTGAGAGCCACCAACGGAGAAACAGGAGCTGCTGCACCTCAGCTAAAGAGGCAGGCTCTGGCTGAAACAAGCTGTTCCTGCTGGAGATTGCTGCCAAAGGAGATGAACAATGTTCTC